CGAGCATGATAACAAAGGTATGTTATTTGTAGCAGAAAGTTCAAACTTAATTACACTCTCAGGTAAGGTAAATGGGTCCTTTGATAAAAAGCATGTGAACCCTAGACTTTTTTTTAATACAGTACCTCTTTCACAAACAGTTTCTTCAAAAGATAGTTTGATGACTTGGGTTAATATTTACACATTTCTACAGATCTTAAAAGCAATGAGTAGCATGTAATTAACTATTTACATACATTTGTGGTCAGGAATATGGCTGGTCTATCTGAGTGGATCATAATCCATGTAAAACAGGTAACAGCCCTCAAGGATTGTACATCAATAATGGCCAGAAAGACAGACACTACCTGGGATGGTCAGACATTCCCACAGTTAAGTACTTTGTTCATCACACTGAACACGGAAGTTTGCCTCTTCAGATTGATAAAGCGGCTAGAGAGTACAGTTGGTGCCCACAACTTTTGATCAAACAGCCACCTTTATCTTTCAGGCTCATTTTCCGAAGAGGTTTGTCTTAACAATTCGACTATTATCAACCGTAAACCTGACTGATCGGAAGTTTATGAGACAGGTTCTTCTGACTAGAATTTAAATCTGTTGGCTGAATTACATACATGCTGAATGGACTAAATAGAGCACTTCACAAAGTTTTCGTTATAAAATGACCTACAGGATCAATTCCACCCTATCTCCCCAGAACAAAAATAGCAAGGTGCACTTGCCCCATAGGATCAACAGCATTAAGACCAAACAAGCAGATGCTAACACAGTATGCTCCACATAGTCCTGCAAGGGCATTCTGACATTCAGCTCAGGCAGGTATACATGTTCAGGTCTCAATAAATTGTCCATATCATGAAGAAAGAGTTACTGTAACTTCAGTTACAGTCTTCAACAGACTGTATTGTATCTGTCAGGATTTGTGGCAGTATTAAGTACATCTGATTATACATAAACAAACTTCTTAAGAAGAGCAGTAGTGACCTTATTGCACGCGAGAAGTATTAGGAATACTCTACCTTTGTTTTGTAATTGATTGAACTTACTTACTCCAAATCAAAAAGATGAAACAAAAATCATTCCAAAAGCATCTACAACAGCAATCTAATTTGAAAGAAGACTTGGACTATAATTGGTTCACTGGGCAGAAAATAACAGCTGTCAGGACATTGATAGAACGCATCCATTATGGTCCAAACGGTGTCCTACAGTTTTGAAAAGAATCGATTTTCTTCCATATTGCTGACTAGCAGGAATTTTGTGCCAATCCCATTGCAAGCACTTCAAGAACCTTAGTGCTGATAATTTGGCTGCTTTAAAGATGAAGATAATGATGAGATTTGAAGATACATTTTTAGGGCCTTCAGAAAGAATTGCATCATATGCTGGGCTACTTGTATCCAATCATGATCTGAGTCGCTTCAGAGGAACACAATGTCTTGAATCAGGGAATGTATTCATTCATTTCTTTCCAAGTAAGATATCAAGACATATTTCATTCAAGATAGACAGGTTTAGGAGAATATAGGGGGATTATTTTTAGATCTGTTTTCATACAATACATTAGAAACTTAATCATGTCGCTTCTGCTTCTTGATTTCCTGGTGTGAGTGAATGAAGGTAAAGTCGTCTGTCTTGGATCAGACAAACCAAAAGGCAGTGGTGTGGACATTAATGAACACCCAAACAATGGGAGTGAGTGAGTATGGTTAATCCACTCTTAGCAATATTCCAGAAATATCAGAGATGGGCTTCACACATTGTCCCCATGTGGGGAATTGAACCTTCGGTGTGACAAGCTAGGCTAAGACCACTAGGCTACCCCACCGCCCCCAAACCATTGGAGAATTGACACACCTTCAGTCAGAGTAGAGCTGGGAAGATCTTGGCCTTTATCACTGGTAATTTATCCACATTCTTTTAGCAGCCATTGTCAACACCTGATTCCTGTCACCACCTGATATGGTAGACTGCCATGGATGTGAAGCATGAAACATTGAATCCAGCAGCTATCATTACAATACCTTGAGTACACCTATTTCAAGGTGTCTGAAACTTACCAATAATGACACTTTACCAATGTTTCGAACTGGAACCATTTACCTGATCTGTAATCATGGCAAACAAACCACATCTCCATATTTTCCAGAATGACCTTAAAACTTTCCCACCAGACACATGTATCATGAACCATTTTGACTACAAAACCTGGTGACTGATAATCTCACTAATATCCGTCTTTTTTACATCTTTGTCTTAATAATACTTAAGAACTCAAATTCCTTGAATCATTGCATGTACAGTTAAGCATCATAGGCAGCAAAATAGACTACCGTATACATGATGATTTACCAATTAAATTGTATTTCCTGTTCTGACAGGCATTGTTCTATATGCAGAGATTAAGATTACCATCTGTATGTTCTCGTAAACTAAGCCTGAAGTAGCAATCAGCTGTACACGCGTTTCTCAGAATCTACCTGTGATTCGGTTAAAAATTATCCACAAATATAACTTTTAAGAATTTTGATACAATGATCCGAATAATTCTATCTGAAACTATTTTTTTATTAGGAATAATCTATTCCAATATAATGTTATTTTAGTTCAGCTTTACTATATATATTTGAAATAACTTAATAAGCGTAGCACTTTGGTACAGCTGAGAAATATCAAATCCACATCGCCAGAGAAATATCAAACCCCATCAGAAAAGGATCAAATCCAAGTCAGAGAAGTATCAAATCCACATTGCCAGAGAAGTATCAAATCCACATTGCCAGAGAAGTATCAAATCCACATTGCCAGAGAAGGATCAAATGCATATCATCAGCGAAGACGATCAAATCCACATTGCCAGAAAAGTATCAAATCCACATCACCAGAGAAGTACCAAATCCACATTGCCAGAAAAGTATCAAATCCACATTGCCAGAGAAGGATCAAATCCACATCGCCAGAGAAGTATCAAATGCATATCAGAGAAGACGATCAAATCCACATTGCCAGAAAAGGATCAAATCCAAGTCAGAGAAGTATCAAATCCACATCACCAGAGAAGTATCAAATCCACATTGCCAGAGAAGTACCAAATCCACATTGCCAGAGAATTATCAAATCCACACTGCCAGAGAAGTATCAAATCCACATCACCAGAGAAGTATCAAATCCACATTGCCAGAGAAGTATCAAATCCACATTGCCAGAGAAGTATCAAATCCACATTGCCAGAGAAGTATCAAATGCACATTGCCAGAGAAGTATCAAATCCACATTGCCAGAGAAGTATCAAATGCCTTTCATCACAGAAGACGATCAAATCCATATCACCAGAGAATGATTAAAACCACAAAGTAGAATCAAACCCATAACATCAGAAAGGGAAAAATGGCTCAAATCCACTAACCAGGTCACACGCGAGACAGAGACATCCAGGAATGTCCATACAACAATTGCACCCACCAACTCCCATTTGTGTCAACCACTTCTGACAAGTATAGTGTTCACAGGTGGACCCCATTCAGGACTGTAAATGCCATACCACCATTGCGCCCACCTGATCACCATTTGTGTCACCTACTTATAACAAGCTAAGTGCACTGGGGACACTTTCTGCACTGGAATTCATATGGGAGAAACCCCTTGACTATCTTATGATACTGGAATCAGAGCCAATTGTCCATGTCAGATGGGTTATGCCAGTATAACACGGCAATTATGCTGGTTGCTCACTTCTAAGACACTCTGAAGACAAAGCCTCAGATAAGTAACACCACTTGTGAATAATTTGTCTAGAACTTGTTCCAGTGTTTGAGGAGCAGATGCTCTTGAGTAATGTAATCATGCTGTAATGGAGTAATCTCCCACATCGCTCTTTGGACTTCAGTCAAAGACAAGTCCATGGAGGACAGAGCAAGGCTATTGTCTGTTTGGCAAAGAATCATATCAAAGCAAATAATGAGGACCCCTTACCCACTTTACAGTATCACAGACAAAGGAGACACATATGTATTCATTTCTCATACATCCAAGAATACAAATGATTAAAGATTAACAGAAACAATTGTGACGTTATGATTCATCATTGTTCAGAGTGAGTAAGTGAGTGAGTGAGTGAGTGAGTGAATGAGTGAGTGAGTGAGTGAGTGGTTATGCAACACATCTCCGCACAACCAATGGCATTTTAATTGCAGTGCCTTCGATCCCCCTAATCATGTCCCCTTTCTGCTGAGTGATTTGGAGTGAGGTTTTAAGTGGAATGAGTAGTGAGTTGGGTTTAATGGTAGCAATGCTCAGTTGAGTGATGCAGAAGAGTTTTACCTGTTCTTGAAACTGAAAAGAATGGATATGGTGATGACAGATTAAGAACATCTTGGATTTGAACCCATGATACATGACCTGGCTAAGTGATGTTCAAGGCTGTATTGCACAGTATACTGACTCAGAGCTGACCAGTCCTTGTTTTAGCCCCTTAATGTGGAGCGTCAGACAGGGTAACAACAAGTACCATCTTTTAACGTCTTTTGGTATGACACAGGCGAGCATCAAACCCCAGACCTTCCAGTCTCTGGGCAGACACTCTACAACAAGACAACTTCATGAGAGTGCATCACTTAGAACACCCAAACTTACTGAACAGCTTCAATTATAATCTGCACCAACATCTGTGCAACAAATGCATGTATTTTTTCTGTCTCAAGGCAGGTTTTGGATATTTGGAATTTTCCTTCCTTCCATGTCCCTTGTGACATAACAACTTGACATCACTGAACAACAAAGACATGGGAACTAGGTGTTACAGTTTGTACATATTGGAAAACATTGTCATACTGAAGAAACAACCCACAGCCTGAGTGTGAAGTTTTTGTCAACTGGCACTAACATTCAGTTAAGGCTTTCATGAGACAGTGACAGGGTTCAACTGATCTGATACACGAGAAACCACATGCAGTCACAGGAATCAGCTGTAATTAGTATGAAGAGTCAAAAACTTATTCTGCATGTCTTTTCTCATGCTGCTCCTGGGACAAGATGCCACCACAGTGAGACCTCTGCACAAGCACTAACAACATTTGACTTCATGAGGGAGTTGGTTAATGTACAACAGTCAGCAATCATCCAGGTCCTCGTGAATGTCTACCATCTCTGTATTATGTTTTAAATGATCTTTTTTTCTGCATTCGTTTAAAACTGCTGCACATGTTGCCTGCAAATGACCCTTTCGAAACCATGATAAATCTTCAAAAACTATGTACGCTCCTTCACGATCTTTCTAAATTCATGATTTACTTTAATAGCTTATAACTTTTTATGTGTTTTCATTTCATACATCAATTTTCTTATCAATAAAATGGAACTGTACTTGGTCATACACTGGTGGTCTAAACAGAGGGTCGTTACTATATGGTTGGAATAATGACGAAGCGACATTATATTTTAACTCACTGAACGCAAGGCCCTAATATAAAGTGTAGAAGACACTCCCTGTTGAGTAATCTCCCTTCACCGACTATAATGGGCAAGAGTTCAAATCTAGGTTACAGCATTCCCATCATACATCAGCCATGTTGTGTCTGTAGACAAATCTTCATTGGTCTCAAAGCAAGGCAGGCTTCAGTAATAGGGTACATTGCTTCCAGTTTACTCCCAAAATTACTGGACCACCTTGAAGTATTGCATCAACGAATATTCTGCTCCATAAACTTGCTGATCGACCATCACATAAACAATACAAATGTCTCAACATCAGAAGGCAGCAGATAATTCACTTCCTTGTACTGGAGTGTATATTGATATTGAAAAAATATATCACAGCAGTGGAATCACTGGACTACTGACTCAATATATAGGAACTCGAGTTAACATCATAAAACATCAGCCCCAACATGGAGTCAATATCCTTTTCTATATACAGTACTCATGTGACAGTTTCTAAACCAATCAGGAATAAGGGCAATTTGTCATGCTGTGATAGTTGAGTGTGCAGGAAGCTTACATATGCAGTTACACTTCTGCCATATGTCAGGAGCACTTTAAATTGTCTCTAATGACGGAAGGCAGAAATAGTCAGACTAGTGGTTGATAGTGTGGGCATCAAGAGTGGCATCAAGAGTGGGCATCAACAGAGTGGGCATCAATAGTGGGCATCAACAGGGTGGGCATCAAGAGTGTGCATCAACAGAGTGGGCATCAATAGTGGGTATCAACAGTGTGGGCATCAACAGTGTGGGAATCAATAGTGAGCATCAAGAGTGTGGGCATCAAGAGTGTGGGCATCAACAGTGGGGGCATCAACAGTGTGGGCATCAACAGAGTGGGTATCAACAGTGTGGGCATCAACAGTGGGGGCATCAACAGTGGGGGCATCAACAGTGGGGGCATCAACAGGGTGGGTATCAACAGTGTGGGCATCAACAGTGGGGGCATCAACAGTGGGGGCATCAACAGTGGGGGCATCAACAGTGTGGGCATCAACAGAGTGGGCATCAATAGTGTGGGCATCAACAGAGTGGGCATCAATAGTGGGTATCAAGAGTGTGGGCATTAACAGTGGCATCAATAGTGGGCATCAAGAGTGTGGGCATCAACAGTGTGGGCATCAATAGTGGGCATCAACAGTGTGGGCATCAACAGTGTGGGTATCAAGAGTGGGCATCAAGAGTGTGGGCATCAACAGTGTGGGCAACAACAGTGGGGGCATCAAGAGTGTGGGCATTAACAGTGGCATCAATAGTGGGCATCAATAGTGGGCATCAATAGTGAGCATCAATAGTGGGCATCAACAGTGTGGGCATCAACAGTGTGGGCATCAATAGTGGGCATCAAGAGTGTGGGCATCAACAGTGTGGGCAACAACAGTGGGGGCATCAAGAGTGTGGGCATTAACAGTGGCATCAATAGTGGGCATCAATAGTGGGCATCAATAGTGAGCATCAATAGTGGGCATCAAGAGTGTGGGCATCAACAGTGTGGGCAACAACAGGGTGGGTATCAAGAGTGTGGGCATTAACAGTGGCATCAATAGTGGGCATCAATAGTGGGCATCAACAGTGTGGGCATCAACAGAGTGGGCATCAATAGTGGGCATCAACAGTGTGGGCAACAACAAAGTGGGTATCAAGAGTGTGGGCATTAACAGTGGCATCAATAGTGGGCATCAACAGTGTGGGCATCAACAGTGGGCATCAAGAGTGTGGGCATCAATAGTGGGCATCAACAGTGTGGGCATCAACAGAGTGGGCATCAAGAGTGTGAGCATCAACAGTGTGGGCAACAACAGGATGGGTATCAAGAGTGTGGGCATTAACAGTGGCATCAAAAGTGGGCATCAATAGTGGGTATCAACAGAGCAGCATGAAGAGTGTGGGCATCAATAGTGAGCATCAATAGTGGGCATCAAGAGTTTGGGCATCAACAGTGTTGGCAACAACAGGGTGGGTATCAAGAGTGTGGGCATTAACAGTGGCATCAATAGTGGGCATCAACAGTGTGGGCATCAACAGAGTGGGCATCAATAGTGGGCATCAACAGTGTGGGCAACAACAGAGTGGGTATCAAGCGTGTGGGCATTAACAGTGGCATCAATAGTGGGCATCAACAGTGGGCATCAACAGTGTGGGCATCAACAGTGTGGGCATCAACAGTGTGGGCATCAACAGAGTGGGCATCAATAGTGGGCATCAACAGTGTGGGCAACAACAGAGTGGGTATCAAGAGTGTGGGCATTAACAGTAGCATCAATAGTGGGCATAAACAGTTGGCATCAACAGTGTGGGCATCAACAGAGTGGGCATCAATAGTGGGCATCAACAGTGTGGGCATCAACAGTGTGGGCATCAATAGTGGGCATCAACAGTGTGGGCATAAACAGAGTGGGCATCAATAGTGGGCATCAACAGTGTGGGCATCAACAGTGGGCATCAATAGTGGGCATCAAGAGTGTGGGCATCAATAGTGGGCATCAACAGTGGCATCAAAAGTGTGGGCATCAACTGTATGGGAATCAATGGTGAGCATCAAAAGTGGGCATTAATAGTGGGTATCAACAGAGCAGCATGAAGAGTGTGAGCATCAACAGTGAGCATCAACAGTGAGGGCATCAACAGTGTGGGCATCAAGAGTGTGGACATCGACAGTGTGGACATCGACAGTGTGGGCATCAACAGTTGGCATCGACAGTGAGCATCAACAGTGTGGGCATCAACAGTGTGGGCATCAATAGTGGGCATCAACAGTGTGGGCATCAACAGTGTGGGCAACAACAGTGGGGGCATCAAGAGTGTGGGCATTAACAGTGGCATCAATAGTGGGCATCAATAGTGGGCATCAATAGTGAGCATCAATAGTGGGCATCAACAGTGGGGGCATCAAGAGTGGGGGCATCAAGAGTGTGGGCATCAATAGTGGGCATCAACAGTGTGGGCATCAACAGAGTGGGCATCAATAGTGGGCATCAACAGTGTGGGCATCAACAGTGTGGGCATCAACAGAGTGGGCATCAATAGTGGGCATCAACAGTGTGGGCATCAACAGTGTGGGCATCAACAGAGTGGGCATCAATAGTGGGCATCAACAGTGTGGGCATCAACAGTGTGGGCAACAACAGTGTGGGCATCAACAGTGGGCATCAACTGTATGGGAATCAATGGTGAGCATCAAAAGTGGGCATCAATAGTGGGTATCAACAGAGCAGCATGAAGAGTGTGGGCATCAATAGTGAGCATCAATAGTGGGCATCAAGAGTGTGAGCATCAACAGTGTGGGCAACAACAGGATGGGTATCAAGAGTGTGGGCATTAACAGTGGCATCAAAAGTGGGCATCAATAGTGGGTATCAACAGAGCAGCATGAAGAGTGTGGGCATCAAGAGTGTGGGCATCAACAGTGGGCATCAACAGTGTGGGCATCAATAGTGGGTATCAACAGTGGCATCAAGAGTGTGGGCATCAAGAACGTGGGCATCAATAATGGGTATCAACAGTGTGGGCAACAACAGGGTGGGTATCAAGAGTGTGGGCATTAACAGTGGCATCAATAGTGGGCATCAACAGTGTGGGCATCAACAGAGTGGGCATCAATAGTGGGCATCAACAGTGTGGGCAACAACAGAGTGGGTATCAAGCGTGTGGGCATTAACAGTGGCATCAATAGTGGGCATCAACAGTGGGCATCAACAGTGTGGGCATCAACAGTGTGGGCATCAACAGTGTGGGCATCAACAGAGTGGGCATCAATAGTGGGCATCAACAGTGTGGGCAACAACAGAGTGGGTATCAAGAGTGTGGGCATTAACAGTAGCATCAATAGTGGGCATAAACAGTTGGCATCAACAGTGTGGGCATCAACAGAGTGGGCATCAAAAGTGGGCATCAACAGTGTGGGCATCAACAGTGTGGGCATCAATAGTGGGCATCAACAGTGTGGGCATAAACAGAGTGGGCATCAATAGTGGGCATCAACAGTGTGGGCATCAACAGTGGGCATCAATAGTGGGCATCAAGAGTGTGGGCATCAATAGTGGGCATCAACAGTGGCATCAAAAGTGTGGGCATCAACTGTATGGGAATCAATGGTGAGCATCAAAAGTGGGCATTAATAGTGGGTATCAACAGAGCAGCATGAAGAGTGTGAGCATCAACAGTGAGCATCAACAGTGAGGGCATCAACAGTGTGGGCATCAAGAGTGTGGACATCGACAGTGTGGACATCGACAGTGTGGGCATCAACAGTTGGCATCGACAGTGAGCATCAACAGTGGGCATCAACAGTGTGGGCATCAACAGTGTGGGCATCAATAGTGAGCATCAACAGGGGCATCAACAGTGGGCATCAACAGTGTGGGCATCAAGAGTGTGGACATCGACAGTGTGGGCATCAATAGTGGGCATCAATAGTGAGCATCAACAGTGGGCATCAATAGTGAGCATCAACAGTGGGCATGAACAGAGTGGCATGAAGAGTAAGCATCAACAGTGTGGGCATCAAGAGTGTGGGCATCAAGAGTGTGGGCATCAATAGTGCGCATCAATAGTGAGCATCAACTGTGAGCATCAATAGTGGGCATCAATAGTGAGCATCAACAGTGTGGGCATCAACAGTGTGGGCATCAACAGTGTGGGCATCAATAGTGAGCATCAACAGTGTGGGCATCAACAGTGTGGGCATCAATAGTGAGCATCAACAGTGTGGGAATCAACAGTGTGGGCATCAATAGTGAGCATCAACAGTGGGCATCAACAGTGAGCATTAAGAGTGTGGGCATCAAGAGTGTGGGCATCAACAGTGGGCATCAACAGTGTGGGCATCAAGAGTGTGGGCATCAATAGTGAGCATCAACAGTTGGCATCAATAGTGGGCATCAACTGTGAGGGCATCAATAGTGAGTATCAACAGTGGGCATCAACAGTGTGGGCATCAACAGTGTGGGCATCAATAGTGAGCATCAACAGTGTGGGCATCAACAGTGTGGGCATCAATAGTGAGCATCAACAGTGGGCATCAACAGTGAGCATTAAGAGTGTGGGCATCAAGAGTGTGGGCATCAACAGTGGGCATCAACAGTGTGGGCATCAATAGTGGGTATCAACAGTGGCATCAAGAGTGTGGGCATCAAGAACGTGGGCATCAATAATGGGTATCAACAGTGTGGGCATGAACAGTGTGGGCATGAACAGTGTGGGCATCAACTGTGTGGGCATCAACAGTGGCATCAATAGTGTTGGCATCAATAGTGTGGGCATCAACAGTGTGGGCATCAACAGTGGCATCAAGATTGTGGGCATCAACAGAGTGGACATCAAGAGTGCGAGCATCAACAGTGGCATCAATAGTGTAGGCATCAACAGTTTGGGCATCAAGAGTGTGGGCATCAATAGTGGGGGCATCAAGAGTGTGGGCATCAATAGTGGGCATCAACAGTGTGGGCATCAACAGTGTGGGCATCTAGAGTGTGGGCATCTGTCAACAATGGCATCAAGAGTGTTCACCCACCGACACCTTCACCCACTGTCCATGTTCACCCACCGACACCTTCACCCACTGTCCATGTTCACCCACCGACACCTTCCCCACTGTCCATGTTCACCCATCGACACCTTCATCCACTGTCCATATTACTGCCCACCTTCACCCACTGTCCATGTTCACCCACCGACACCTTCACCCACTGTCCATGTTCACTCATCGACACCTTCCCCACTGTCCATATTACTGCCCACCTTCACCCACTGTCCATGTTCACCCACTGACACCTTCACCCACTGTCCATGTTCACCCATCAACACCTTCCTTGACTGTACATATTACTGCCTACCTTCACCCAGGGTCCATGTTCACCCATTGACACCTTCACCCACTGTCCATGTTCACCCATCGACACCTTCACCCACTGTCCATGTTCACCCACCGACACCTTCACCCACTGTCCATATTACTGCCTACCTTCACCCACTGTCCATGTTCACCCATATTCTATCTAGCTGTTTATGTTATCAGTGTCCTCCTGTTTCCAAGTCCAGCAAACCATGTAATTACCCTGTAAACACAATCCTAGCATGGAGATTAACCTAGCTGATAAAACACATGAGCTCTTTAACAAGTTAGAAACCTCCACAGTTCACCAGGAATGGAGATCTTTGGCAGAGCAAGAAGAAACATGGGGGATCATCTCTGGAACTTATTTTAGAACGTTATTTCATGGCTGAGCTGATCTGAGATAGACCAGCCAACATATCCATGCATCGATCCAGATTCTGTTTTTGCAATTTACCATCTTCGTTACACCATACTTGTAATATTATAAACAGTCAGCCAGGAATATAAACACCAATGTCAGAGAGATGATATTATCTAAAACATCAGATAGGTCACGATCCCTTCAGATCCAAGATCGATCATGCTTTGATGCTAGCTAGAGGGCAGAGCTGAGTTTCAATGTTGCAAACTTATGTTCCACAAGGCTGTACTTAACATAAATATTTGGTATCCTTACAAAACCGATTACCTTCTCTACAAGACAAATCAAAATTTTACAATATGCATAAAGTTTCTGGAACATATTTATCCCTTTGTCATATTATCACAAGCGGATGATTAATAGATCTTGCCATAAAACTTACAATGCAAGCTGATCTTTGAGATGAAGACAACTGCCTATGGATAACATTATTTAACTGGACTGTTTGAACCTTTTAATCATCATTGAAATGAATCTGGTCCTGATAGGTGTCAGGTGGCCAACTCCAAGTCAGCTAAGAAATACATGTCCTTGGGCATGTTGGAATAATATGTTAAAAGAAGCTACATTTTACGTGTCAAGGACTAAGAAGATGCCCATATCTTCTGCCACTACAGAATCGTTCTATCTGGAGTGAGTGATGTGAGTTGAACTTGGAATAGTATCCCCTGGCACTTCAGTCATGGCACAGTGTGAGGAAAACCCCAACTGGTGCAATTTAGTCAAAGATCAGTTCCACTTTGGTGTGGATGTGATACGCAAACCAAGGATCATAAAATTAGCAAAGAGATAGATTGGAAAACATGTATATAAACTAGGTGCCACTTCAGTCAATTTTTTATGATTATGCCGTCTATATTTTTTTGTTTATTTCCACAGCATGTGTGCGTGGGTGCTAGTGTCTGCTGGTACCAGACCTGACAGATGCTGATAGTGCTAGCGCACTGAGATACAATGTCACAGTTTGTAATGAATACCCCACTCAGACACGGTACACTGAATTCAAGCCGACCAGTCCTTATATTAGGAGCTTAATGCCAAGCACCAGGCAAGGTAACAAGAAGTACCATCTTTTAATGTCTTCTGGTATGCCATGGATGGCAGACGCTCTACCACAAGACCACGGAGGTCACATAACATTTTGACTAAACATGTATACATATATATTACTCATGATTTGAAAGGGACATTTGTGTATGAAAAGAAATAACAGAAATATCCATACCGACACCACCACCCCACATCCACCCATTCTTTTTCTACATCTCTTTCAATAAACATACAAGTGAAATGAAAGCATACAGTTTGGACTCAAGGCCACAGCTAGTACAAAAGCTTTGTGTAAGTGTGTGTTAAACTGCAGGATCCCTTATTGAACTGAACCCTAATCTATTCTCATCACAGTTTGACTAGCCTCTTACTGCAGTATCAGTGGGGGATTCAATTACACTGTTCAATCAAGGTTTATCTGCTGCAGACGTGGAGATGCCAGCCATGCAGCATCACCTATACCTGCTGCATGTCCTCCTTCCCACATCAGCAGGGAGAACTAGCACATGCTCTGTAGCTCACCTTTATTAAAGCACAAGTTTTTGGTTTGGTTTGTTTGTTGTTTTACGCCGCACTCAGCAATATTTCAGCTATATAACAGTGGTCTGTAAATAATCAAGTCTGGACCAGACAATCCAGTGATTAATATCATGAGCATCGATCCACGCAATTGGGATCGATGACATGCATCAACCAAGTCAGCGAGCCTGACCACCCGATCCCGTCAGTCGCCTTTTACGACAAGCATAGTCGCCTTTTACGGCAAGCATGGAATCTTCACGGGTCTAAAGCACCAGTATTGTTTGAACTTATTTGTGGTATGTGAATTATAGTAAGATATAATCAGCTCCTTCATATGAGACATGTAAACTTTTGGACTGTATGTACACAATTAACTGAAGCCAAAAGGTTAGAATAACATCTTGTCTCTGAAATGTTTGTTTGTTTGTTGTTTAACGCCGCACTCAGCAATATTCCAGCTGTATGATGGCAATCTGTAAATAATCAAGTCTGGACCAGACAATCAACGGAGTGACATCATGAGCATCAATCCACGCAATTGGTGAGTGAGTGAGTATGATTTTACGCCGCTTTTAGCAATATTCCAGCAATATCACAGCGGGGGACACCAGAAATTGGCTTCACACATTGTACCCATGTCGGGGATCGAACCTGGGTCTTCGGCGTGACGAGCGAACGTTTCAACCACTAGGCTACCCGACCACCCCCACGCAATTGGGATATGATGACATGCATGAACCAAGTCAGCAGGTCGGATCACCAGATCCTGTTAGTCATCTCTTACGATAAGCATAGTTACCTCTGACGACAAACATAGGTTACTGAAGACCAATTCTAATCTTCACGGGAAAGAAACAGTTGTTATATTATCTAAATATAATATAAGAAACAGGAGCCTGCTGAAACTGCAGTAATCTAGTCTTGCCAACTTTCATAGACTTGCATGGGATATATTGGATGTATTTGTTTCTGGGACTGTATGACAGACTACTAGACTAACATCTAGTCTCTGAAATGAACATATTGTACAGAAAAAAACAGTTGTTCAGTTATCTTAATAAAAATATAATAAAAAGGAGACCAGTGACTCTCTTCATTTTCTGATACTGCAGTGATCTAGACTTTCCAAACATTATAGACTTGCATGGGCTGTATTTGATATATATTTGTATCAGGGTCTGTAAGACAGTCTAGACAGACTACCAAAAGGTGTTTCCATGGAGATAATGCATAAGCATGTAAACAAGACAATCCACAGTTTATAAAGGAATACCATCAGGTTTTCATGAGGACTGAATCGTAATGCAAGAGGTCTGCGAGTTTGTGAACCACTAGGGTGTAGCAAAGTCTATTGCTTGTTGTCTGTCACTGCTTGTCTGTGTGCTATTGAGGCAAACATGTGGTACGGGAAACATACTCTGATCTTGAATCAATTCATAAAGAGTGAGGTTCATTATTAAAAATATTCCAGATATTTCATGACAAGAGGGACACATCTATAAAGCAACCCCATGTATAAGACGACCCCCCCATGAACAAGCCTTTAAAATCGATGCTAATTTATATACCCCATCTATAAAGCGAATATAAAGCGAATATGAAGCATGTCACCAGTGCATGCACAATCCCTACCTTTGCAATAAAAACGTGTTACGTTGTTTCCATCCAGCGATTAGGGAAACAAACAGATCATAACAATTGAACTTGGTCAATACAAATTGAAAGGTTGAGATAAAAAAACCCACTAGACATGATCATTTACCGATTAAATTGTATTTCCTGTTCTGATAGGCATTGTTAAATATGCAGAGATTCAGATTACCATGTGTATTTTTTCGTAAACTAAGCCGGAAGTAGCAATCGGCTGTACACACGTTTGTCGGAATCTACCGGTGATTTGGTTAATAATTAGCAAATAATATAACTTTAAAGATTTAGTCCGGACTGATACCTCTAGACCACGGAGGCGGTCCAATATTCAATGAAATATTGAATAAAATTAATAAAATAGATTACAAAGGTAAGTCCAGATATACAATGAACACTTTTTATAAGCAGACAGTGTAATTACATGATTAGTTTGCGTACATCAGTATGGATTTGTTGGCATGGTATTTCCGGTGTAACATGCTCACAGTTATGTCTGTGTTGGGGGGAAAAACATCAAAACTCTTCACCCGTTTGTATAAAACAACCCCCCTTGAAAGCCCCCTATTTCGAGGTACGAAAAACTCGCCTTATACACAGCGATATACGGTAACAAAATATT